TCTATCAGGTTGCTAAGAATCGACACTAACTTGACGGCACATAATCAAACAATTAAAATATTATTTTGTTATTGTTGTTAACCACTAGGAGATTGACTGATTGACTGATCTATCTATCTACCTACCTACCTAATTTAGCTCAATCGGCAAGACTTTAGGCAGTGTACATAATTTATATAGTAAAAGAGATTACAAAATCAGATTAAAATTATTTAAAACAGCAACTAAAGATACAAAGCTAAATGTACAGAATTATGGAAAATGGCACCACTGTATACTGTTAATCCCAAAAGACCTTCTAGAAGAGCTGTTTTCACCTGAATCTGGAAGACCATGAGGGTGGAAGTAATCTTTGCTTCAAGGGCCAAGCTATACCAAAGGAAGGGAACTGCTACAGAAAATGCCCACTGTTGCCCACCACCACACCTCTTGGGAGGTGGGGACCCTTAGCAGGCCTCCCTTGATGTCCAGGTAGGATGGGCAGAAACTAATGCAGAAAGACAGTCCCCAAGCCCTGAGCCATATATGGCTTTAATGACCAGCACCTTAAATTGCACTTGGAAATCCACTGGTAATAGTACAGCTCCCGCAGCAGAGGTATAATGTAGCAGTAATGCAACTGAGCATATGTGCTGATGCCTTCTGGACCACATGAAGTTTTGGTGTGGTTTCAAGGCAGCCTCACACAAAGCAAATTAATAGAAAGACTGAGAGGCAGTTTGGTGTAGTGGTTAAAGGCACTGGCTAAAAACCAAGAGATTCAGAGTTCTGCCTTAGGCACAAAGCCAGCTGGATGACTTTAGGCCAGTCACTGTCTTTCTACCCTAGGAAGAAGACAATGGCAAACCAATTCTGAAAATGTTGCCAAGAAAATTACATGTTCTTGTCCAGGCAGTTGCCAGGAGTCAAGGTTGACTCAAAGACACCAAAACAGAGATTATAAAGGCATAAACAACCATCCTCAGTGCCTCCAGTTCCAGGCAAGGCCTCAGCTGGCACACCACCCACAGCTGTGCAAAAGCTCTCCTGGCCACTGTTTCTACTTGCTCTTCAAGCAGGAGCCATGAGTCAATGAGGATCCCCAGATGGCATTCCAACCAGAAGAGATAAAGTACAAACCTCATCTATGAGACAGTCATCTGGATCATAATCTTGCATGTCAATAATTTCTGCTGGCAAATTAATGGAGGCAACAGCTTCAGTAAGTATCAGTGCAAACCGCTAGAGAAAAAGGGGGGAAAAATCAGTGAAGATTTATTTCATATAAGGAAGCTAGACTAGGTGACTCTCTGACTGATCCATGAAAGATAAATTGTTTTATCTTTATCCCTTG